TTGTTTTTCACATGGGCAAACCAAAAAACAAAAAATGTGGTTTACCAAAGAATACTTCAATGAAACGAATAATTTGCGGATTCACCTTCATTTACTTAGAGAAGTTCAACTAAAAAACACTTCATTTCTGTAATCGAAATAAATTCATTACTGGTTATGTAATAAAACCAAATTTTTCCTTTTCAAATATAAAACACAAAATTTCTTCATCTTTCTCACGAAACCATCTGGTGGCGAAACGGAGTTCGTCGGGATTGCTAGTCGTTCATAAAATATACATTGAGGATCTTATCGCTCAAAGCACTTGAGAAAGTTTACATTGGCAGGAGGTGAATGAATGAATCCATCTAAGGATATATTTCTTACGATTATAATAACGCATTTGAAATATAAACATTATGAAACTGAATTGTAAATTTAAAATTCGTGATTTGAAAGTTTTATACAACTTTGTATTGTATGAAAATACAACTGAACAATAATTTTTTTTAAAATTTAAAATTGTTTTTTCGGAAAATTTTGAAATTTGCTTGAACCATATAAGTAAAATTCAAAAATTAAATATCTTGGTAAGGAACCCAACAAAATTGTAGTAAAAAAATCAGTACTCATTTTTAAAAACTTCATTAAATATCGGATAATTTGATGTGCATACGTCTAATGTCCATTTTTGACCACATATACCACATATCTCTTTGGTTCAGATACCTTTGAACGGTAAATATATGCAAAAATTTTCATTTTCGATTTTTTGCGATTACTATAACTTGCCCTACGGGAAGAAAAATACCATGTAGATATTACCATAAGAAAGATGTAATAAAAATACTCCAAAGGTTAATAGATCGAATAGCTAATTTTACCAATGCCTTTTGTTATCGCAACTATTTAAGTTTTACTAAATCTTCATTTGTTTGCTATACACAATACACAATAGGCAAATAAATATGGCCAAATGTTAGTTACAAATTACTTAATCTATATTATCAAAAATTTTAATGATAAAAATTAGAAGATGCTTGATATAATAATACCAGTTAATTGCCAAAATTACTCGATTGTAGCTATAAATAATCAGAATTATCGCAGTAGTTATAAATAATGAATGTTATTGATTATAAACTTAAATTATAGCGGTAGTTTTTCTTCTTTCTTAAGTATTAAAATCTAGTTACTAATTAACCAGTTAATTAATCATATTGAATACTTTTGATGTCTGTTGTGCCAAAACTGCAGTTATTCCCTAAAACATATAGGGGAAAGTCCCCTAGTGGCGGACACCTAAGGTTATTTATAAATAAATCAAAGAATATTTTACAAAATGTTTATTAAATTATGATTTATGTTAGATAACAAAGTTAGAAATTAAACTAAATTAGCAAAACCGCAATCTTTGCTAAAAAATAATTAATACTATCAATCAAACTTTGGTAACAAAAATATGATTTTAAACAGTGGCACCTAGTACCGGACATTTCAAAATAACCTGCACTGATCACATATGTAGCCATCTCCACACTCTGGAAAGTCTGCACATTTGTGTTTGACGAATATTCTCAGATATTGCAAAAAAATCACTAATTATCCACCCTTTGGGTTGGGCCACACCGATGCTCTCAGCTGGAGCATTCATCATAAGATTTTGATTCTTTGACTAGGAAATACGAAAAATGGGGGTATGTAATGACCGTTTGCACTCATACAGAACAAAATTAAATATTTAAAATAAATTACGTCAATTCTCACAAGAAATTTCAATATGTTTATTGTCCGGCGCTTAGGGACGACTTAGTGTCCGGTGCTAAGGGACAGACAATTTCGTTCCTATGGTGGTACCTACTAAAATTGTTTAAACTATCTAATAATATTCTACCATTTTACGGATAACAATCAAGTACTACTTTTATCATTGAATGCCACTCAAATATAAATGCATAAATACACTAGAATTACTTCCATTAATATTTAGGCGACGCCGCGATTTTGCGCCTAAAACAACAGGTGGTTGCTTCCGCCGTGGCCGTGTGCGCCACAGGTGAGTCTTGGCGGGTGATTCTGCACCTGTGTGCACCCCGCACCCCTTTCACTTGTATTTTGATATAAAAAGATTTAAATAGTACGCGTTAAATAGAGCATCCGGTATTAGGTGCTGTCCAGCGTTACGGGACTTCCCCCTAATTATAATTCTGTATAATCTTTTATAATTAACACGATAAAATAGATATGAATGTATAAATTATAATAAGGTGTAATTATTATAATACTTACAATTGGGTAGCATTTCTATCCTATTCATTGCCCAATGTTTGAAAAATTTATACATAATTATTGTGCACACTTCCATGCATGACCATATCAGTAAAGCAATGTGAAATTTGCCAAATCCGGTTGTAATTAAAGAAACACCTACATTAATACTGAAAAATAAATACATTAACTGTTAGTACTTGACCATGAGATGATAATTATTTTTAATAAATTAGATTTTATTAATATTTTCAAAAAATTCAAATTGTGAGCCTGTAGTTGGCCCTGGTTGCGTCCAAAATATTTGTTCCAAGCAGTTGTATGAAGAATCAAAAATATTTCGATCAAATTCATCAAATAAATTGGACTAAATGTGATCTAGTATTAATATTATCTACTTACCTTCCATGGGCAACCAGATCGTATACCACAGTATTCAAAAACAATATAATTAGAATCACAGTAAATATGTGGTATATAGTTCTGATGTGCTGAACTTCAAATAGATCAGTGAGTATTGAACTTCTAGGAATAAACATTTTCTCTGATAACTGGCCATTGTTTTTGGATTTCCTAAAAGGATATAAAAATGATAATATTAAAAGTTGCAAGTGAACAAGAGCAACCTTATTTTATTTAGATCTTCACAAGGGCCAAAACTAAATTTAAAGAAATTTAAGATTTCTAACGCGAAGCGAAGCATCATCTTACTTCATTATTAACTTCCCGAAGGAGAAGTTAATGTTTTCATCAAAAAATCCGATTTGCTAATTTTATGTTCACTCGACGTTTCAAGCCATTCTGAATCGAATGAGACCAAATTTGGAACAAGTGTGTGTGTGTTGGTGCGTGAACAGATTTTTTGTCGCAAATCGACGTTTTCTCAAAAACGGCTGAACCAATTTCAAAAATCTAAAAGCCATTCGATGTATCTCAATGAGGACTATCGTTTGTCAGCTTTGCGCTACGATCGGCCGAACCGTTTCTTTGTAAATCGCAGAAAGGTGAAAAAATTTTCGTCCACGTTTTAGCCCGCAATTCTGAATCGATTTTGAAAATTCAAAAACTGTTCGAAAGATATTGGTTGGAAATCGTGCTGATTAGTTTTTGGTAGAGGTCGGCCGGGCCGTTTTATGTAATAAAGTGTTAAAAAAAACTTTTAGACGACTCTTATGACTTTTGTTTGACGGTAGTTACCATAGTCTTAAAGATCATACTGAAATATAACGGGTTTACGACAAGCCGTTTAATTTTAAAAATTCTTCAAAGTTTGCAAAAATTAGCATGGTTTCATTGGCATTTGTCAAAAATAAACCTTCGATCGACGTTTTCTTAAAAACACCTGAACCGATTTCAGAAATTTAAAAGCCATTTGATTTATCTCAATGAGGACTATCGTTTGTCAGTTTTGTGAGACGATCTGCCAAACCGTTTCTTTGTAATTTGAAAAAAAGTGTTGAACTTTTCGTGCACATTCAAGCTCAAATTACCAAACCAATTTTAAAAAATCAAAAACTGTTCGAAAGATGTTAGTTGAAAATGGTACTGATTAGTTTTAGGTGAAAATCTACCGAGCCGTTTTCTTGTAATTAACGGTTGAAAAAAGTTTAAGTCGATTTTTATGGAACTGTTTTTATCGTATATATCATGGTCTTATAGAACATACTAAAATATCACGGCCTTACGACAAGTAGTTCAACTATAAAAATTTATCAAAGTTTGAGAAAATGAGTAGTTTTTTTGACGTTTGTTAAAATTAAAATTAGACGATTTACTTGGTATCATTAAAGTCCTACGGAAACCGGTTCAAATACAAAAATTGTTGATTTTCGACAATTTGCCCTTAGAAAATATTCCGAGTTAACGTGTTTGTTCGTTTTCAATTATCTGTAATAAATCCACTCGGAATACTTTTAATCACTTAAAAATTAATTTATGTTTTATTGATTAAGTCGATTATTTACACATATCGGGAAGTTCATGTAACTTGCCTCAAGGCTAAATACCAAACCAACTAGTTTTAATTTTAACAAACGTCAAAAAAACTGCTCATTTTCTCAAACTGATGAATTTTTAAATTTAAACTACTTGTCGTAAGGCCGTAATATTTCAGTAAGTTCTATAAGACTGATATATATCGCCAAAGAAGTTCCATAAAAATCGGCATAATTTTTTTTTTCAATAGTTAATTACAAGAAAACGGCTCGGTAGATTAACACCTAAAACTAGTCAGTATTATTCCCAACTAATATCATTCGAACAACAGAAATTTTTTGATTTATGATTTTTTAAAATCGATTTGGTAGTATGAGCTTAAATGTGGACAAAACATTTAACATTTTTTTCCAAATTGCAAAGAAACGGCTCTGCAGATCGTCGAACAAAACTGACATACAATAGTCCTCATTGAGATACATCGAATGGCTTTTAAATTTCTGAAATCAGTTTAGGCGTTTTTTGAGAAAACGTCGATTTACGGCAAAAAATCTGTTGATACACACACACACATACCTTTTCCAAATTTGGTCCCATTCGATTCAGAATGGCTTGAAAAGTGGAGAAAACATTTTTTGTTTAAAACATAAACTTCTCATAAAGGTTTATTATTATCTTCCCGAAAGTTAATAATAACACTTGATTCTGGTTAATGGTGAATGTCATCAAGTTAAATGTTTCAACTGTCAATATTCCAAATAGCACATCAAGTTCTAATAATACTTCAACTATTCAAAATTAAAAATTAAAATTATTACCCTTTTTTACTGATGTCGCCATTTGGTGTGAATAATTCCTGAAGACCAGCCTTAGGAATGCACATCCCACGCACTTCTTTCAATACATCTGAAGCCACTAAGTTCAGTTGTTTTTCAAACTGATTTAGTACTGATGATTGAAGGTTCTGCATTGAAATAAATATAACATGAACTAGCTGTAAGTGGAATTCTGTCTTAAGGCAATTAAGGCATCGTGCCTTAAGGCAAATTGCTGGAACTTCCCGTACCAAAATTTTTTTTTTAAAAACGATTAAGATTTTTGAAAAAAATTTACTTTGAAAAAATAAGATTTTTGAGAAACTATATATTGGACAAAAAATTACTTCTTTTTGAAAAAAAAAAATTTTTTTTATTTTTTTTTTTTTAAAAAAAAATGTTTTATTTTATTTTGACATATTTTGGAAGATCTAAACTTTTTTTCAGAGCAATCGTACTGCTTTAACTGCATAAAGACGAAATATCAAAGCCCGTAAGCGCCGCGTCGCCGTCTAACGCGTAAACATTGGTACGGAACCCATAGAAATGTAAAAAAAATTTATACTTATTGTTAAAATCTCTATAAAATATTTGATAATTTGATGTGCATATGTCTAATGATCATTTTTGACCGCCAAATGGCATTTTTTTTTACTTTTTTCATCAGATCTCCGAAACCGTTAGACCTGCCTTCATGAAATTTGATCAATTCTTTATCTTGTCAATACAAGTAAAATGTTTTTTGAAATATTCAAATCGGACGCTCCGTTCTCTTAAAAACTGAGTTACCGTTTTCGGCACTTTTTGCCCCGTATCTTTGGAACGGCTAGACCTGCTTTCGCCAAAAACTAATCAGCACGTCTCCTTATTAATACGAATCGAATGTTTTTTGAATTATTCAAATCGGTTGATCCGTGTTCCCGAAATCGTCGACGAAAATTTGTATCCGCACATACATACACACACGCACATACATACATACATACATACATACATACATACATACATACATACACACACACACACACACACACATACATCCATTTTTTCTAAGGTATGCCAAAATGTTCAGAAACCTCTGAAACGTAAAGATATATAAACATTTTCATTTTCGATTTTTTTGCGATTACTATAACTTGCCCTACGGGAAGTTAATAAAATACTGATATAATATTATTTACAATGTATATATAAACAAGTAGTAGTAAGGCTGTTTTCACACGGTTTCACATAACATATTTTAAAACAAATATTTAACGTTACCTTTAGTCTTATAATTATTAACTTCCCGTAGAGTAAGTTATAGTAATAGCAAAAAAATAGAAAATGGAAATTTTTATATATCTTTATGTTTCAGAGGTTTCTAAACATTTTGGCATACCTTAAAAAAAATGGATGTATGTGTGTGTGTGCGGATACAAATTTTCGTCGACGATTTCGGAAACACGGTTCAACCGATTTTAATTATTCAAAAAACATTTTACTTATATTGACAAGATGAATAATTGATCAAATTTTCATGAAGCCAGGCCTAGCGGTTTCGGGAATCTAGTGAAAAAAGTAAAAAAAAATACCATTTGGCGGTCAAAAATATTATTAGACATATGCACATCAAATTATCTGATATTTTATAGAAATTTTAACAGTAAGTATAAATTTTCTTTACATTCCTATCGGTTTCGTACCAATGTTTATCTGTTAGACGGCGACGCGGCGCTTCGATTTTTCGTCTCTATGCAGGTGAAGCAGTTGCTTTGAAAAAAAGTTCAGATTTTCCAAAATATTTCAAAATAAGGAAAACATTTTTTTTCAAAACTTTTTTTTTCAAAAAAGAGTAAATTTTTGTCAAAATTTTATAGTTTCTCAAAAATCTAATTTATTCAAAGTATTTTTTTTTTCAAAAATGTTAATCTTTTTAAAAGAAAATAATTATTAGTACGGGAAGTTTCAGCAATTTGCCTTAAGGCACGATGCCATGCGCCCCACTAGTTTAATTTTTTCTATTACAAATTTTATTTAGAATAACCAGAAATTAGTTCAATGAAGACGTAACGCAAATAGAATAGAACTAGTAGTGTATGGCATCGTGCCTTTAGGGAAATTGTTGGAATTCCCGTACCGTAACGAAATGTTCGAGAAATATTAAATGTTTTCAAATAAATTATTATAAATATTGTAATATTATCTTATATTTATAAGTATTATATAAACTAAATTGCAAAGTTGAAATTATTAAGTATATTAGAACTTTAGTCAGAATTAAAATCTGAATTATTTTCGATATACAAAAAAAAAAATTTAAAATAAAATTTGAAACATTTTTTTTTCTCAAAAGAAATTATTTTGTTCAAACAAGCAGAAAGTTCTTTGAATCATTCAAACCAATGCTTAGTGCTCTCAAAAACTGCAATTATTTGCACATAGAGCTCTGTATCTTCGAAAATGGCTGGACCTGTCTTTGCCAAAAACTAATCACCTCTTCTCCCAATCATTACAAATTTAATGTTTTTTTAGATCATTCAAATCGGATACTCCGTTCTCTCAAAAACTCGATTTGTATTCTCTGCACTCTTTGCTCAGTATCTTTGTAACGGCCGGACCTGCCTTTGCGAAAAACTAATCAACACATCTCCCTATCAGAAGGAATCGAAAGTTTTTTAAGCAATTCAAATCGGTTGATCCGTGCGCCCCAAAACATGGACGAGAAAATTCGGACATACAAAACACACACACACATCCATTTTTTCTGAGGTATGCCAAAATGTTCAGAAATCTCTGAAAAGTAAAAATATGCAAAAATTTTCTTTTTCGATTTTCGGCCCATTACTATAACTACCCTATGGGAAGTTAAAAAATATTTTAATTATATGATTTATTTATTTATTATGAATTATTTTTAATTATATTGACCGCCAAATTGCGGTTTACTTTTTCATTTTACCTTCGAAACCGCGAAACCTGCCTTCTCGAAAATTTAATCTGCACGTCTCGTCAATAATACGAATCGAGCGTTTTTGAATTATTCAAATCCGTGGTCCCGAAATAGCCGACAAAAATTTCTTCACGTCAAAATGTTGAGAATCCTTTGAAACGTAAAAATATAAAATTTTTCATTTGCGATTAGTTTACAAATACTAAAAATATAAGTTTTTCATTCTGTAATAAAATCAATTTATGAAATTATTTATAAAGAGATATGGATTTGGCTCGTATTATTATTAACCATTCCAAAATTTTCAATTTTAGTCAGTTTTTCATATTATCTGTTCATGACTAATATATATTTTTTTTCCATACTAAACCTTGACCATGTTTATATTAAAATTTTAATTATTTAATATTTTTAGTAAAAAAAAATAGATACTGATCATAAAAGAGCCTAATATACGCAAGGAAACGTTTTGTTTGTGTCTATTAATTCTAAATATTGATTATCATTATTAACTCATTATCAATGCAAATAATATTCATATTTTATCAATTGCAAAGGTTAGGTATATATTTACAAGTGTTTAAAATTTTTAAGTATATGTTTTGTTTATCATCTAATTAACTTATGATCACTATTAAGCATAAGGAATAACTAGTGGCGTGCACGGTATCGTGCCTTAAGGCAAATTGCTAGAACTTCCCGTACCGTAATTAAAAATCTTGGTACGGAACCCAAAAATATTTACACAAAATGTGTACACATTATTATAATCTCTATAAAATATCTGATAATTTGATGTACATATGTCCAATAAACATTTTTGACCGCCAAATGACACTTCTTTAACTTATTTTTATTGAGAGTCCATAACCGCTGGGTCTGCCTTCTCAGAAATTTAATCAGTTCTCAATCTTGTTAATACAAGTAAAATGTTTTTTGAATTATTAAATTCGGACGCCCCGTTCTCTTAAAAACTGCGTTACCGTTTTTGGCACTTTTTGCCCCGTATCTTCGGAACGGCTAGACCTGCCTTCGCCAAAATCTAATCAGCACGTCTCCTTATCAATACGAATCAAATGTTTCTTTGAATTATTCAAATCGGTTGATCGGTGTTCTCAAAATCGTCGATAAAAATTTGTATCCGTATACACACACGCACACACATATATACGCAGACAGATTTGCGAAAGAGCTGCTAATTGACCTGCGTTCTATGGAAAGAGAAAGGGCGAATGGAACTTTGCAATTTAAAAGATGAATAAGTTTAAGAATTATAACATTCATCATAACAAGTTAAGAATTATAACATTCTAGATCCTCCCCCCACAAAGTAATGCCTAACGGCGGTTTCCGTGGGGACCAAAAGCAAGGACAAAGCGGTGGTTTTAGTCGGTATTATACCTAGACGGTAGTCTGACATACCCAGACAAAACACAAGTCTGGGATGAATAAAGCCATTTCCTTCATTCACGCATTCACGCATTCATATTCATAAACATTTGAAACGTAAAGATATATAAAAATTTTCATTTTTGATTTTTTTGCGATTACTATAACTTACCCTACGGAAAGTTAATAAATATTAGTAAATTTATTTATTATTTACTCATTCTATTGATACTCAAAATACTTTTATCATTATTATAATTTTTTTAAGAACTATTTCGAGATTACGACATAAGTTTTAAGCAATTTAACGTTAAAAATGTTTTCTGCATTTCTTTATTTATTTAATCATTATAATTTACTATGTTAAGTACGTTAACATGAATTTAATAATTTCAATAATTATTGAACTTTCACGTTTTTGTTGTATTTTGTTTATTATTATTTATAGCATTTCCTTAATATCTTTAATATCTTTTTTTAATAACAAACACATGAACAACGCATACTGATAGCCATAGATAAGTAAACATAGCTGATAGATACTCTTCTTTTATCTATGGCTGATAGTCTCCCGTAGTTCATATTAAGTCTATAACAAAACGAAGTGTCTCATCTTTTTAAGAAAGTACGCTATGCTCCAATGTCAAACAAATTTAATTTAAGTTAAATTCAGTTATTATAGTATTGAAAAGGATTGTTGATTAAACTAGATTATTATTTAGCCTACAATTATTTTGGAATTATTTCAATTATTTCGTAAACGAGTATTAGAAGTACAAAATATTTAAAAATGTCAGAAGAAACAATTATGCCTATGAATAATCAGAA